GTAAGTCTCATTCATCTAATTGTCTAATTCATTATTGAGAGTAAAAGTATGTATATGACATATTTTGATTGAACCAGGGCAAGCGGGCTTTCAGTCAACGGAGGAGATAGAGGGCTGCAAAGGTGACCGAGGCGTGGGGCACCCTGGCGAATGATAGACCAGAAATGTGAATTGCGTAAAGCCATTCACATTGACCACTTCCAAATCAATAATACTCGCATATTCTGAAGGTAACCTACAACATAATTATATATGCATAACACTGAAAACAAGACGAGCGGCATTACCAAAACTTGCCGATGCGCATGATAGTGCGCATCGGCGACTTCATGAGCATACACATGTCTCCAGCGAGATTGTTCCCCGCTTGGAGTATATTATTGATCGAGACCGCGATGAATATCAAGACACCTTTGCTTTAGAACATATTTGTATTTCGATCATACATTGGCTCAACACTGGATCCCTAACAAAAGCTTGCGTATACTCCGACTATACTGTCATAGCAGCTCTAGAAAGTCACTAAGAGCCAAACAACAAGTTTGACGGGGGGGCTGGAAGCAAAGATATATGTATGAATATTATTTGCGGAGTCATTCTTTGCGGAGTGGATGACATAGTTAAAGTTGAATCTTTCTGCCTCCACAATTCCTTATTATTGTATTTGGCTTATTTGACTGGAATGCTAAAACTAGCCATCGATTCATGCCGATAAAGGTCTCCAGATCGGACATGAATGTCACTCTTTGCCGAGGAGAGAAGCATTGATTATTCTACGATCGGTATTGGAAATAACAGCATATGGGAATCGAGCTAAAGCAAGCCTTCTTCTGAGTGGATGAACCGAAGAGTCTGAGACCAATCACACAGGGAATTAAGACAACCACATTGGTTGAGATAACAACGACATTAATCGATACAATAATTTATCCTTCGGGGCAACTTTATATGACCTGTGAGCCTCAACCAAGCGTATCTTCTACCTCATTCATGCTCATAGAAGACGTCTGCGATCCAGCAAGGAGGAGCTCGTGCTCAATATCTACTGCGCCATCAGTTATTGGGTTATGAATAAATGTAAGGACACAACGCACACATTCTGTCCGTCTGGCTATGATAGTCATAAGGATCATAGGGCTCACCATCAGGCACGTATGGGCCAGGCTGAGTGGGTGAAGGCGGCATGGAAGTGGACTGCAATTCCACTGACAGCGGGCGAGGCAAAACGTCTATTTTATCATAGTAGTGTAAGTGTGTAATCAGGGGAGCTAATCCGTACTCACCACCCATAGGACTGCCTGTTAAGAGATTACATCATGTAAGCAACAAAATATACATGCCGACTAGCATAAGTGTGCCAATCGGCGCATAATATGCAAATATACTCACCCCTCGGTGGTGACGGCGAATTAAATTGAGATACGGCAGGAGATCTCCCTTGGCTTGCCTCTGCTTCTTGCACTGGTGACGCCACAAGGTGCTAACGGAAATGTAACGTCAGTGATCATACATTTCGTGTCACCGGTGGCGCGACACACCGAGGGCCATGTGGTGCTCTCGTCAGGAGCAGAAGGTCGGCGCCAGAAAGAATTTCGAGGCTGCAACCAGGCTCCAGAGGGTAAGGAAGCGACAGCATCACCAGATACGTCCCGTTGCTCAGCCCGAGCAGCGACGAATGACAACACCTGGAGAAACAAAGGTGGAGCTGAAAGACAATCAAAGGAGAACAGACACATACATCAATGACATGATTGAGCGCGTTTGACACCGCTAGATCCACTGAGCGAGCACCAACTCGTACGAATGGCAAATCTTCGACTGCATTTACCACGTGTTGAATGGCTGCATGTCTATTTGCACGAGACTGCTGAAACTTCAGCCGAGTTGCAGCAATCTCGGCTCTCGAGGGTGTAGGAGAACCTGACAATACCATCCAAGCTGGATCAGGTATTGGCTCATCAGGAATCGAGACGTGATCAGCAAAAATGAATAATTGTTGCTGACGCCCGGGGGTCACCAACATATGTACCGTGAGTTCGCGGCTCACTCGACGACGCCATGCAACCACAGATGAAGTCAACATCTGGGTGCGAACTTCGGTAATGTACGCTTGCTCCCAATAGGCTCCCAATACGAATGGCCAGACTTTGCGTTTGGCGTCCTTAGAGACATTTTGCCACCAGGGCAATGCTGTAGATACGATGAGCCGCAGATGGGATGATTGGACACTTGGTGGCGTGGGGTGAAAGACACCTGATTGCCGACGTGCCATGAAGGGGCCTAATAATTTGGCCTCGTCGATGAGGGGGACAAGAGTGGACAGGTCATGCAACCCGTAGAAGCTGACGAGGGGGTTCTCTGCGGTATGCCATGAATTCTCGCCAGTGCCAGTGAGCCAAGGCTGAATCTCCTTTCGCTTGAGAGTACGTTGGCGTGTGTATACAATCGGGGTCTCTGCTATCGTTATTTGCAAAAATGTTAATACGTTCAATCGTTCCTGCCACACTAATTCGAAGAGCTAGATTGCAGGATGTGAGAACCAAAATCAAACTAGAAACACATAGCTGTCCCCATACTTTGGTTGTAGCTGCATCCTGATCTGCCCAATTGTTGTGCATGCGAAACGCACGGAGTGCAACCACCCACGCATCACGATGTGAAGGATCCTGGATGTGGTGACGATAGTCCACCAAAGGATCAATGCACCGCGAGACCTACATACAAGGCCATTAGTCGAGCTGCTGCAACTAGTGCCTGTGGCAACAGACAAATTTGTCCAGCCGAATGGCACAATGATGCGCATCGGCAAGATAACCCATGACACTCACCTCTAACAGTGCGTCGGTGTACTGCCCAAACGCTTCAACAACATATTGCACCATGCTAATAGTGACGAGCGGGAAGGGCACATGTTCTCGCGCAGGAGCTGGCGTAAGAACAAGCGTTACACGATCCACTACATCTTTAGCGTGTACACCAATTGGAGAATGCTTGCTGATCTCAGTCGCATATCTTTGGGAGATGGCCGCAACAACACCTTGTCGATATCTGTCAAGCTCTATGATTGCTTGATCAGTATTCATGCCAATGTCCACAGGATTCTCAATCTCTAATTTGAAGACCACATCAATTGCGGCAAGGAGTTCATCGTCCCAAATAGCCCAATCGGGGCGCGATTTGGCAATCGTGCTGCGATCACCATTGAACTGGTCTAAGGATCCAATGGCACCAAGCAGTCGCCATGACTGCCGGATGTACAAAAGGACGAGCTAGACAAGTTATTAGTCTAAACATAACATAGAAATCAATGTGAGTTTCGTGCGCACCCCCATATAAATATCGATCATTTTCAGCAAATGTTTGACTTTAAAAAGACCGCTCTCGGCAAAGTGCTTCCGCCCTGGAATAATGTATTGCAGGGCCTCCATGGCCTCAGGAATACTAACGATAGGGCTGAGCATGTTGCTGAGAGACGCACGCGGTCCCTTGCGATCTTTATGTTCACGCACGATTGCATTCAACTTCGAGGAATATTCAACTGACTCCACCGGATGAGAATGTAATTCTGCCAGGTGGGCGTCTAGACGTTCGTCTGGTGTCTCCGCCAATTGTGGCATGTGGTCGTTACGAGCCAGGACACGGCCTATTCTGGCACCATCGGCGTCGAGTTTCTCTGAGAAGTAAGAGTAAATTAGAAATGTCATTTCAGGAGCAAGGCCGAATGGCATGATGGTGCCGGTTAAGTACATGAAGCAAAAGAAAAAACGTCCAGCAGGAATGCAAGGCGGCCGATAGGCATGCTCGTGCCAGTTGGCTGAACTTATATGCCCAATCACACATAGACGACCGACCTACCGACATCATAGATACGAACACCCCATATTGCCTGGTTGTTAATTCTCTCCGACAACGTTTTTACGTCATCATCCAGCTGTCGAAGGGAATTCACATCGCGATGTGAGCATGCCTTCAGAGCAGCCCGCTTCTTCTTGAGGAGTTTGACGTCTGCTGCAAGATATTGTTGAATTGCTATAATGCGGTGCTGCCCGTTGACCACCTTCACCGGTAAGCGCGCCGGTTGGTCCGGAGATGAACTCTCTGGCAGATGGGCTGCCTTGATTTGAAGGAGAGGTGGGTGGTTTGCGAATTCCGTTTTCTGGCGAACTCCTTTTAGAGCAGCAGCAGGCATGGCAATAGAGATGAAATTTGCTGGAACCATGCCCAGAACACCAAATTTTTTGAATCCAGCTTTCATTTCATTGATCTTTGCTTTGTCTATTCCACGACGATTGTATGTTTGCATCAGTAGTTCAACATCAGCAGGTTCAAGCAAATTAAGGGATCGCGATGTGAGATATGCCTGCTGGGTCTCGGCTCGGAGGTTGTTAGCGACTTCCTGCTGCTTCAATGAATAACGACTTTCTTCATTCACAACAGGAGCATCTATAGCTTTCCTCTGAATGAAAAAAAAAAGACATAACATATGCATTTCATCAAATATACTGCTGAGTCTTTGAAGACTTACAGTCCGGTGGGATAATGGGACCTCATGATCATTTTCCTCCTCAAACTCACTCGCAGATCCGGCGTCATCGATGGTAGTAGAGCGAAGTGTTGGCTTGACATTGCGTCTACTACTACGGTCAGCTTGGATATGCCCTGGAGCGAGGCTGGACGAGGCGGCGGCGTTCTTGGGAGCCATAATTTGAAAGACTTGGAGCCCGCGGATATGACAGACAGGATTCTTTTACAGGACAGTGATGAGAGTTGCAAGCATTCACATATCAATCTCATCTGATCTTACTACATCAAACTTCTTTTCCCACAAAGAAGTGCGCGCACATTTGGCGATATTAGAAGAACTTATTGCTGTGTTTCTAATAAGAAAATTAAAAGACATATTGCGAAGGTGTTGACTAAACCGGATAAGACATTCTTCTCTCAGTTGTTTGCATGTATTGGTAGGTCCACTTCTTTCATGTTTGAAATAATATATCGCATGACCCAATGCCTCTCAACACCCATACAGAGGTTGGAGCTTAGATTACATGCTAACCGAACTTCTATACAGATCTATTCCAATAATACAAACAAATTATTAGATGACATCCAGTAGGAAGAGGTTCAAATGACAGGGAATATATTAAATACATTTCAGCCGCAGACTCAATTTGTTTGATTCACCGCTATAGCAGAAGCCAGTTATCGAAGTGACATTTAAATAAGAAATGAACACTTACAAAGCCTGCGAAGATTATCTACTATGTTGTCATGAGCTTGAGGATTCGTAGGGTCAGGATCAATATCCATAGCGTCTACTGATTTGTCTTCAATCAATCAAATATTCAACAAATTCTGGCCGATGCGCACGCCTGTGCAAGTCGGCAGGCACACATATTCGATGCAAGCATATGTACACCTGCACTGCCAACAGGAGCAGGGACCCTCTTGCCGCCGATGCGCATAGACATGCGAGTAGGCGAGTGTGCAATCGAGAACTAGTGTGCTTACCTGGCTCCCCTGGTCGTAGTTTCTTCGTAGGAGGAACCTCGCTGCCACTTTGACCACTGTTGGACCTACCCCGCTTGATCGAGGCATTATTCTTTGTCTGCGCAAATATGGCTGTGATGTTCTGCTGAATCGGTGAGAAATAAGGAGAATAAAGAACAAGCTATTAAGACGTACTTCTGGCCAAGTCGTATTTGCATCCGGGAGAGCCAGCCGTCGGTGATAGTCTTGACGAACAGCTGTGCCTGCCTTGGCAGAGTCGAAAGGAGCCTGGGGATCATCGCATGCTTCTCGATACGACTGACGCGCCGCCGCAAAGTCTAGGACCTAGTCCATATAATATCAGCCGGTTTGTCGCTAGAAACGTACGAAGGAATGGAATGTTACTCCACCTCAACAACATGGTGAACCGCGCTATGGACCACCTCGTCGATTGAATCTCCCTCTATCGCAACAAACGGCAGATATTCGATACTGCGAACAATTTTTTGGATTGCTGCATGGCGCTCGTTTGAGTTTTCCAGTAGCCGCAATGCAACTTCTGCCTTCTCCCTGTTCTCAGCGATAGTCCCGTCACTTGGGCGAACCAGCCATTCTGGATTGGCGAGGAATTCGGCAGGGTAGGCAAGCCGATCCGGAAATTCGAACACATACGAGAGGCGAGTCTCGTCCACAGGTCCGCCACTCATATGATATCCAACTTCCTTTGACAATCTTTTGCGCCACTCGACGACGCAGGTATTGAAGCATTTCGGGCGCTCCTGAGTAATATATGCATACTCCCAGTACGCGCCTAGAACGAATGGCCAGAGCTTATGCCGAGGGTCTTTCTTGCATCCCACCCACCATGGCACTCCAGTCTTGAAAAGCAGGCGAGCTTGTGGATGCGTCGCGATAGCTGCGGGTGTCGTCGTGTAGCCCGAGTCTGTCCTTGATTGTATTACCTCACTGTGATCCTTGATCAGATCACGAGCGACTACCAGCGATTTTAGATTCGCTAGCTGGTCAACAGTATGGAGCGTGTTGTGATTGTTCTGCCAATCCATGTCAGCAGGCCTGTCGCCATTGGGTCCGGATGTTGGTTGCCAGGCGGCGATAGCTGCACGCTTCATCTTCCGCTGCTCCTTGTATGCCTCTGGTGTTTGATTAGCGAACCATTCCAGGAACGGGAGAACGTCGGCTCGACCGCCCCAAATCTGGTCGAAAATCGTATCAAGGCCGGCATCTTCGTCGATCCACTGATAGTTCATCTTGATACCGCGCAGCACAGTAATCCATGCATCTCGCGTGCTTGTGTCTTGCAAATTATGCCTGTAATCGATAAGCGGATCGAACATTCTCGCGAGCTGGAGATGATATATGTCAATTACTTTCTTGCACGCCGATCGGCACAGCAGTGCGATTCGGCCAGGCGCGACAGCCCCATCAGCGCAAGTACTGACTCGCCGAATCGCACAGGTGTGCCATCCGGCAGACAGCATGTGTGCTTACCTCAAGTAAGCCTTGTTTGCATGCAGCAAACGCTGCCACTACACTCTTAAGTGCCTTGGCCGTCAATAGTGGCATCGGGACCCTTATGGTGGTCTCGACAGAGAACGGATGCATCAAAAAAAGTCTAATCCGCTCCCGGGTGTTGGCCGCGTGAATACCTTTCACCGACTGAGCCTTGATGTCGTCTGCGTACTCTGCAGTTATCGCCGCAATCACAGCTTGCCGATACTTTCTCAGCTGGTTGAGCCCGCGGGGAATGTTTAAGCCCATATCCTCAGGATTTCTTATGCAATCAGCAAACGCTGCATCGACCTTGTTCAGCAGTTCATCCGTCCAGATCTCCCAGTTCGGTGCGCTGTCCTCTCTAAGAGCTGCCCGCACGTTTAAAACCCTTCTCGTCGCCGGCTGACTGCCGCCAGATTCCTGTGATGCAGCCTCGGTTTCGCACTCTGCTTCCAAAGCCAGAACGTCAGTACGGAAAGGATCCATGGATCCGAGAATGCCAAGGAGCGTCCACTCGCGATGGAGATACTGGCATATAAGCTAAAACAAGGAGGCGTTGTTAGAGATACAGTACATTATTACTGCTCGCGTATAACTCTTACCCCTAAGTACACTCCGTCCATCTCTTCGATGGCTTTCACTCGGAGCAAGGCAGATTCCATGAAATGACGGCGGCCAGGAATGAGAGCCAGGAGCATCTTTAAAATCTCGGGGGTTCCGACGATCTTAGAGAGCGAGTTTG